CACCAATGAGGAAGTGAAGTGAGAGATGTTCAAATAGTAAGCAGCATTAGAATTTTACAAGAGCATTGCACTACTCTTTTTACTATTAAACTACTATAATTAAAGATTTCAAACGAAAAAGAAATCACTAAGAGAGATATAATTGCACCTCGAATACTGTGTTCAGTTTTGGGCCCCTCATTACAGGAAGGACATTGAGGTGCTGGAGCGTGTCTAGAGAAGGGCAACGAAGCTGGTGAAGGGCCTGGAGCACAAGTCTTATGAGGAGCGGCTGAGGGAACTGGGGCTGTTTAGCCTGGAGAAGAGGAGGCTGAGGGGAGACCTCATCGCGCTCTACAACTACCTGAAAGGAGGTTGTAGCGAGGTGGGGGTTGGTCTCTTCTGCCAAATAACTAGCAATAGGTGAAGAGGAAATGGCCTCAAGTTGCGCCAAGGGAGGTTTAGATTGGACATTAGGAAAAATTTCTTTACTGAAAGAGTGGTTAGGCCTTGGAACAGGCTGCCCAGGGAAGTGGTTGAGTCACCATCCCTGGAAGTATTTAAAAGACGTGTAGATGAGGCGCTTAGGGACATGGTTTAGTGGGCATGGTGGTGTTGGGTTGACGGTTGGACTCGATGATCTTAGAGGTCTTTTCCAACCTTAATGATTTTATGATTCTATGATTCTATGATTCTATGATTCTAAATATTTGTTCCAAAATGATATAAACTTCTTGATTCTAGAAGGAGTTGCTGAAACAATTGTTGATGCCAGTGGTCTTAACTGGGCTTTAGATTTATTGCTTAATCAAATGAACAAAACGTTATCATCTCATTTATGCCATTGTTAGATTTATCACTTGATTTTTCTTCTGTTCTCACCACTTATTTTCCCATGCATTGTCAGAAATTTTGAATGCTGTGCAGTAAGAAAATATTCATGTGGAATTTGAGTAAAAAACCCAGCATTTTGAGAAAGGCTGAGGTGAAAGAAGAGAAAGCCTATCAGAATCTGTCCTCTGGGATTAGATATAGTGATAACAATTTGTAATTATGACAGTAAATTTATTGTTACGGAATAGAAAAATAAAATAGGACTATAAGAACAGTCTCCAATCCAGAGTGGGTTAAAAGGTATATTTTGCAAATTTCTTGATGCAGATTTTTGATTAATTGCTGGTTACAGATCTGCCTGGCAAAGCAATGACAGCAGGGCATGCTTGGGCTGATCTTGTTGTGTGAGTCATCAAAGTGATGGTGGTGGGGTATGTTGTGTCCCACAGCTACCAGTTTCATACTTGCAAGCTGTCATGAGGCCTTTGTTAATTCATTTTGAGATACATTAATATGTCAGATCCCACATATCATCCCATAGCTCTGCAGAGATTCCAACAGGTCTGCTGATACAGTTTCAGAGATCTTCAGTAGGTTTTTTTTTTAAATATTGCCTGCTTTGTAGAATGGGCATCTTAAGCTTTCCTGCAGGTGTGCATTTGGCACCATTATTCAGCAGTTCTGTGGCATAAGTCTTCGCTAATCGTTTTATGTTTTTAATTTATTTTGTTGGAAAGATAAGGTAAGGGGAGAATTTTTTTTTCTTAGGTCATAGTTTTGGTTCATCTTTCTTGTATCTGGTAAATGTCTTCCTCTTCCCTCCCCTGCTCCCCTTCTCACTAGTGTGACATTTTGGAAGAAATGTAACTCAAGCTTCCTTTTTACATTTTTCTAGTCAAAGAATTTCATACTTACTGCACTGTTTAACTAGTACAGAATGGCAAACTGAAAAGAACTTTGTAACTTCCATTTGTTTTTAAAGTTAGAAAGTTAGAGTTATGACTTACAGTACTGACAAAAAGTGAAAACTGAATCAGTCTACTGATGTCTGTTCAGTTAACCGTGTGTGTGGTTGTGGCTTTGGCTTTTTTTTTTCCCTGATAGGTGGATGGAGCTTCTCTTGACTCTATGTATATGATTGGAGTTAGTCTTGGGGCTCATATAGCTGGTTTTGTTGGCCAGAAGTATAATGGCAAACTTGGCAGAATTACAGGTAAGGCTTTTAATCGCAATACACGTATTCTAATGTACCTTGTATTGTTGTCATAGCTGCAAATCACATAGATGCTAGCACTGAAATATTGACAAATGAGAACTGACTATTTAGTAACATACACGAGGAAAAATGTATCCCTGATAGAAGTTCAGAAAATTGTGAAAGTCTGCCTTCAGGACATAAATTACAGCTGAAATTTTCCAACCTGTTTACCTCTAGTCTCTCAAATTAAAATTGAGTGCTACACCCAAGCACCACTTAAGTTAAACAATATGCTACCTGAGTTTCTGTCTAGTTGATGGAGCAAGTCAGGTCCTTCTGAAGGGAAGTTCAAAAGCTCTTGGTCAGACCACAAGAATCAGGCACAAGGATTTAGTTTCAGTTTGAGGTCTCTGAACATGGTGTAGGCTTTAGTACGTTGAACTATCTCATACAGGGAGCTTAAATCGGATGTGCAACCTGTGTATGGCTACTGCGAATTTCACCTCATTCTTGTTGCATCATCAGCATTGCCATCTGTGGGAAGTGGTGCATACAGTGAAAATTGGAGTACCGTCATTTGGGTATGTCTTTCAGGACCAGGGTTGCACAAAGTTTAGGATTAACTTTTAGATGCTAGTTCCTGGGCCAGAATCCACAGTGCTCATTTGGGTGCACAGGCTCCGGATACTTCTTGTGGTGAAAGAGGAAAACTCACTGCAGCTAGTGTGTTAAGAAGGAAGTTGACTCAGCTAACTATCAGAAAAGGTGCTAAGAGGAGATGGGACTGTTGGATCCTGATAGTGTTTAGGATTTAAGAGAGCAGCTGTTTTCAGGCTGAAAGGAGGCAGTTACCTCTCCTTGACATTCATAGCTCCAAACCCTCTCTTTGGAGTACTTAAGTAATTTTTTTCCCAAAATGTAAGAGGAGCCAATAGCCAGCCTTAAGAAAGGGAATTAGAGACTCCTCCCCTTTTCGTACAGTAATATGAAAATCAGAGCATTTTCTAAGAGTGTAATAGGCTCCAGCTCTATTCCTTTGGTTAAGAATACTCATTTCTCCTTTACACAATTCGCTAGAGTTTGTTAGCGTCACTGGCTGGGGACAGTCTTGATTGCAATGCTAGGTTAGCAGGTCTGTGTCCTCTCTGTGCAATAATTGGGAGCTAGTAGATCCATGTAATTTCTGAACTCAGATGCTCACAGGAATTATATAAAATGTTTCAATCAATTTTTATAATTACAAATATGGATGAATAAAGGCAAAGATTGAGTAGTCCAAATACACAAGGCTCATAATCTCTTAAGTGATTGTTTCACTCTTTCTTTGAAACAAGTTGAGCCAGCAGTGCAAAGTGATGTTGGAAAAATTAGATTTTAAAAAAACAAAGAAAAAGGTATTTTCTTTTTCACTGTTTGGAGGTTTCTGAAATATAGAACTAATTAGTGGGCTAAAACAATGATGTTTGTCACCTGGGGTACTATGAATGTTTATTCCTGACATTCCATGATCCTTTGTGGTACTTTGGGTCTTGGTTATCTTGATCTTGAGAGAGAACCTTCCTAGAGTAGTTTTTAAAGCACATCTGCCAGTTAAATCATAATACAAATTTGGACAAGCTAAGGTCATACACTGGCCTTGTCTCTCAATCACTGAGAATGCAATTAGGAGTCAAGTAAGTGAAGGAATATGTTTTACCTTGACAGTTGTATTTTCCATCTTTGCTGCTTTTTCTTTTCGCCTCTTTGTCTATGCTTTTGTTGTCAAGAAAATACGAGCAGAGCAAACCTCAGCTAACAATTTCACTTTCCTGTGAAGGACGGAAATTACCATCTTGAAAATTATCAGGCTTCAGAGCTGCACAACAGTAATTCCTTATCCCTAAAATGAATGAGAATACACGAGTGTATATGAGTATATGAGTGTATATGAGTGAATGAGTGTTTATGCTTCAAATACTTTGCCACCCAAATCCCCTCCTCCCTGATAAAAAGTGCTTTTTGTGGATCTCAGTAGGAATCTCATTTGTCATAGTTGAGTTTTGATTTGAGTATAAGATTTCCAAACCTCCTTCAGGTGAAAATGTGGTCGAAAACTGGTATTTCACTTAGTTGCATATAACAATTGTTTTTCTATAAGTAATTTCAACACCAACTGATAAAGTGATTGAGGCACGTTTGAAATTGTCTCCATCCAAGATGTCTCCATCTTGTGTTCTGGTGGTAAGAGTAGTTACATTGTGTGTTTTGTTTTTATGAAGTGCTTTATAGGTATAGTATTTTTTTGGGAAAAAGACAAAATTCATTCTCCTGATTTAATTTCTAATGCTGTTGGCTTATGATTCATCACTGGGAGATGAGCACAACTTATTAGGGAGAGAAAGAAATTCAAAGATAGGGATTGATCAGTCTTGTGGTAGAAACCCTTGCTTTGCGTAGCAAGTTGAAGAATGGAAACTTGAGAAGAATTGTGCTGGTTTTTATTTTTATTATTATCCCAGGAAAATGAAGAATCATTGACGAATAATGCTCAAATGTCACTCTTGTATATATCTGTAGAAACAGACCCCAGGATTTGTAATGCTAGTGTTACTTTCACTTAGGTCTTGATCCAGCAGGCCCTTCGTTCACTCGAGAACCACCAGAGCGGAGACTGGATCATACTGATGCACAATTTGTTGATGTAATCCATTCAGATGCTGATGGTAATGACATAGCCTTAACTTTCCTATTTCAACTTGAGGAAAGGCAGGAAAGTGAAAGAGAAGAGATAAGCTATTTCAGTAACATCCAAATAGCATTGCAGAAGTATATTTTGTGTTATCAGGCGGATTTCTGTGCTGTTGCTTTCTAACAATATCTATACTTTTGAAATCGTATTTTATATTATTATGCCTATTCATCAAGAAATTGAAACTCAACTTTGCTAATGACTTAAGCAATGATGGGCTGCTTTGTTCAGTTCTGACATGAGTAGCCATGTTATTGAATGAATGAAGTTTCATGGCTGAACCTGAAAATATTGAATTAACTTTTATGTCCAACAGCTAACTGAAGGCATATGTAGATAACCATACAGTCATGAGTCTATTTAATGTCATGCAAAAGTAGAGATTACACCACTGTCATTTATGTCTTGTTTGTTATAGTATATTCCTTCTGAATACAAAAAAAAGAAGTCTGCACATTGAATGAAGAGTGCCTATTGCATTAATTTATGATACTGCTATTTGGAAAATAGTTCAGCATAAACATCCTTTTGCTGTGCTAGTGTGTATGAACATAGAGGTTGTAAGCATGTGATTATCACTAAATTAAAGTCCCTTCTAGAGGGGCCCTCTGAGAGACAGTCTCAGCTGTATCACATTACTACACTGTACAGATACATTGCTTAAAATTCTAAATCACATTACTAGGTTAAAATGAAGAACGTTGTAAAGTTTGCTTCACCCACACTATAATCTGTTTTTTTTTTTCCAAAACCATAAGTTAACCTTTCAAACCTACCACACTTGTCCCATTCTTTGTGTGGTTTCATATGAGTTTCTTTTATAATATTAAAAATTAAGCATTTTGTTATACAAATTTATATGTGAAGCTGTAAAATACCAATTTTTGTAATGCTCTAATTATGTGAATAAAGGTAATGATGTGTGGTAAAAGGAAGGTAGGTCAGATTAAGCTAAATGTTACTCATGGTCTTTTATGGGGTAGATACAGGTTTTTCTACTTTAATATACTGCTTATATTAGTGTAGCTCAGAACCCAATGTCGTGCAAAAAATGGAAAATCTTACTCTAATGAAAATTACATTGGGAAAGAATTTTGGTTGCTGAAGAGAACATGAATTTCATAAATTTCTTCATGCAAATAATGTCTCAGCTACAGCACTAAATAGTTGCTTCTGTTCTATCCATTTTCTTTTGTGGTAGTAGGAATCTTACCCAAATTTGTATACATTTCTGTACAGCATTTTACATGTGTATAACTTTCTTAAAAAGAAAAAAACCCATGGGTTTTAACTCATGAGTTCCATTTACAGAACCAAAGAACAGTAAATTTGCAAAAAAATTCCTTTAAGACCGTCATGTTATTTTGTAATGCTAAATGTAATGCTAAATAATTCACTGCATAATTCTGTTTATGGTTTTTTGATTCATGATGTTTTTACTTTAGCACTAGGTTTCAAGAAACCTTTAGGAACCATTGATTTCTATCCAAATGGAGGAATGGATCAGCCTGGTTGTCCACAAACAATATTCAGTGGTAAATAAAAATGTGTTCAATTAATGAGAAAAGAGTTTGAAATCAAACCAAAAAAAGGTTAAACTGAATTCAATGGACACTGCACATATTTGGTAATATGGGGGCTGAGGGCATTGTATTCTTCCTTTTCCATCCCCACTCAGCAAATGAGAAATAACAAAGGCATTTGACATCTTTTTTTTTTAATAAAGATCTTCCTGTAAGCATACACGTTCCATGATACCATTATTACTGGTATGATGGAATTATATTATTGTATCATATATATAATCTGTATATAGTGATCATTATTTTTCTGTGTTTATATATGGCTAGGCATGGGGGAAGATGTTTGTGTCCAAGTGGTTTGGACAGGATCACTTGCATATGACATGGAAGGCAAGGCTTTCAAGTCTTCACTGTGTCTTAGGTTCCTCCTGGTCGGCAATGATGTACTAGGTTTTGGACAGGTCTTTTAGGCTCTAGGATGAAAACAGTTTAACGACGTGATCTTTTGCTGCAGAATTTTGCTTATTTCAACCTCCATAAATCTTAGGCAAGGTTGCTGCCCATTGTTTTTGTTTACTCTTTTTGGATACGTTTATGACTGTCTACGTTTCTATTACTAATCTGCACAGTGCTGCTATGAAGTAGAGCTGCTGCAAAAGCATAGGGCTTCCACTTGTGTGTCTGTGAGTATGGGAGAATCCCTTAAGACTTAGGATCATCTTCATCTGTACAATTCTCATAGTTCACTTTGCTAAGAGAGGAAGGAATTTATACCCCCAAAAAATAGAGAGAAGAATCTCTGAGGTGTTCCTCGCTGTAGTTTTTTTGCCAAAATGTTCTGCACAGGATGCAGCAAGGCAAATTTTAACTCAGACTCATGCTTTATAACAATAATTCTGTAAATTTGATAGGACTTAGTAGACTATTTATTGCATTTTAAACCCTATAGGCTTTTCTCTGTACCTGTAATATTCAAAACGCTCTTCAATTTCTTCTTCTTGTCTGTATGCATCCATTTTTAACACTTGATGGTCAACTAACCAGAGAATAAAAGCATAGCTAACTAAGAATGACTGAGGTAAATGGGATTACTTTGCTAATATCTTTTCTTTCACAAAGAAAAATGATTACATATTCTTGGTATATTTCATTTTTTCTTTCCTGAAGGACTTCAGTATTTTAAGTGTGACCATCAAAGATCTGTCTTCCTCTTCTTATCATCTTTGAAAAGAAGGTGCAACATAATAACGTATCCTTGTGACTCTTACTTGGATTACAAGAGAGGAAAATGTCTTGATTGTGAAGCTTTTCAGCCAATGTCCTGTCCAGTACTGGGTAAGAGTTATGATATCTGCTCTGGGCTGGGTTAGATTTTCTGGGAAATCCAGACTAGCTCTTTCTGGGGCTACTCCAGAGAGATCTGTAGAGATTGATCGTGTGCAGAGCTGCATACTCTTTAAAGTAGTTTAAAGTTTATGGCTTTGTCTGCTTTATAGTTATCTCTGTTAGAAACAGGTGCTGAATGTTCCTAATCTTTGATTATTATGCTTTCCAGTCTGAAATGGATTCATAGTGTATTTCCTTTCTACAGAGAAACTGCTTCTACTTAGTGGATCACGTAGTGTGTTATCTTCCCTAGAGTACCTGTGGTTTTTATTTAAAATTGATAATGTTTATAGCAACTTCGTGGTTTCTCTGGCTCTTCTTTTGGAATCGAGCTTTTATCTGCAGGTTTTTTTAGTTGTTTGGGGTTTTATTGCTTTTGGAGAGGATCTGGGGACAGCTTGAAAACAGCTACAGTAGCGTGAGCATTTCCTAGTTGGCAGGGTTTTCTTAAGAATGAAAAAAAAAATTTAAATAGAAATTAACTTTCAATTCATACCTTGTCTTCTTTACATCCTTCTATTAAGATGTGCACCCTACATATATTACTTAGATCAGGTTTGAAGAAAAAGCATAGACAGACAAATCCGTGTACTATTTTATGATAAAATCCAACATAGCAGGACCTTATAGCGGGGCAGAAAGGCTCGAGGACTTCCCCAGCGTGGCTATTAGCCATGCCTGATGCACTTACGCAGAATGCCTGAGCTAGAGGTGGAGAAATATTTGACCAGTCAGCTGCCACCTTTTTTTTTTAATAACCGTACAACCTCTGAGGAAGTGACAGGCAGCTGAATCTGGGAAATGGGAGGAGAAACAGCATCCTTCTGTTGCAAGCTTTCCTGCTTGCTGTCTTGCAGTGGCAGCTCTGCAGCCTGGAACTAGCCCTCGTTGTCCAGTCGAGGTAAAGAAATCAAGAGGGAGAGAATAGGATCAGCCGCTTTAGAAACAAGGATTGTTATCAAGCCTCAAGGACAATAAGCATAAAATTGCATACAACAAAAGTTCTTTCTACATTACATCCAAGAGTTTAGGAGGTTTAAAGAGTATCTAACATTTTATTAAATAATATCCACAATTATAGAGTAGAGGGTTTAAAAATACTTACTTTAATGATTCAAAAAAGAAAGGAAAAAATTTTTCCTAATGTGAAGCTGTTCTGTAACTGTTCTCTGCAAATAAGTGGGCTACTTTCTTGGGTTTGTTTTTATTACCTCTGCGGGAGTTTATAAGCAGTATTTTTGGAGTTAGTACTCTAGACTAAATAGATTCCAAATTATGACAATTTTAGTGATACTAAGGTATTAGAAGAATTAAATACTTGCATAAATTCTACATTCTATTATACTCAGGGGATTCTTGCATTTTCCAAGTCAATTTACTTTCTCAGAGAATGTTTAAGAAAATTAAAGCCAAATCTGTCACTTTGCGTGAGTTTCTTTTGTGTAATTGTATGTGTATGTGTATGTGTAAGGATTTTGCTAAATGTCTGGAATTAAATATTTAAACTTTGGATTTTAGGTTATTATGCTGATAGATGGAAAAAACTGTTAATCCCAAATATTTCACCAACAAAAGCTTATTTTGATACCTCGGACCAAGACCCATTTTGCAGTGAGTGGCTGAATACCTATATAACAAACTCTTTATGAAATGTTATGGCTGTTATTTCTTGAAGTAGAAAGTTACTGTTAGCTGCTGTGTAAAATGGTGTAATAAACAATGAGCTAAGTGTCAGTTTGCAGACTGGAGGAAGAAAAAGAACGATTGTGGCAGAAGAGCAAGTAATACGTGAACTGAGAAATAAATGTGTCTTTAAAAGTAATGAGATGGACTGCCAAGAGGAAGAAGTAAGCTAGAAAATGAGAATCAAGTGACAAGGAAAAAGCTGGACTGAGGAACCTGCTTAGAGGGAATCATTGCTGCCATTGTCAGAGAGCAAAAACGGGAAACGAGACTGCCCCGGCTGGGGGATGGAAAAGAGACACCTCTGTGTTCCACCCCAGGAGGGGGCACGCTACAGTCAACTAAAGCTACTCCAGCTTTTAAAAGTCCATGTCTCCCTAGGAGTAAAACAGTGGAGGGAAAACTTAGCTGACTGTTTCAGGTTTATGCTATATGGGAATGAAGTCTCATGGCATGGGCTTTAGCTGCAACAGTTTGGTTATTTACCTATCCATGTAGAGGTCCAGTTTAGATTATCATCCAATTTCTGTTTTTGTTAACAGACTTTGCCACCATAAGCAAATGTTAGCACACTCTTCTAATTGGTTATATTTCAGGTTCCTTGATTTGGAGTATGGGGATAAGGTTACAGGGAATTCAAGTGAAATCAAGTTTTCCCGTTAGCTTTTTCTACCATCTTGGCAAGTTTTGTGACCAGGGACTTACTGTCTCTTGTTATAGTGGTAATCATGCTTACTTACATGACTGTTTCTTCCACAGGGCCAAGGAAAGGTTAACAAAGATGTGATGGATTTTGCATGAAATAACTCGTAGAATCATAGAATCATAGAATCGTTAA